CCGATGCATCTGTGCATTGCATTTGCTTATCTGGCTTGGCACCTTCCCTCTCTCCATAGAAAAGTTGAACCTTAATTCAGTAGCGTAGTATCGCGTAATGCCGTTTGGCATAATTCACAGCAATCCACCTTGCTCTTGGCAAAAGAACCCTTAGTTTTTATATTATAGCATCATCAAAATTTCTAAATTAGATAAAGAAAGTTTTTAGCCCATGTTAAACCGTTGTCAGTTTTTATGATTTGCAGCATTATTCATATGTAAACATTTTGAAAAGAACTAAGCTTGTACTGTTTAGGGTATATCCTACAGGCAGATATCAGTGCTTTAATTCATCCTAAATGGTGCCTTCATTCTTCAGTATTTACCAGCATTATTTGCAGACTGAAGCACAGGTTAAATTCTAGGTACAGTACTGAAGAAGACAGTACGGTGTACTGAGTTGCAACACAAACTATGCAATTTTTGACGGAAAATGATTATCGTGAAATAATTGTTTAAAAATTTATTGAATCCATCACGGACGAGCATTTTCTAAGTAACTGCAATTGAGAACGTTGCCTTTCCGTATCATCCATATGTTTCCTTATTTCTGAAAACTTATTTCAAGAAACAGGTTTAAACTTGCCTATATGCCTAACTATGTTTCGCTGTATTTGGACGGAGAAAATTTTTGTGAATACTATCTTGTCTTTAGGCAAATTGAACAGCAAGATCGAATCTGTGCATTTCCGTTGCATTCTGCTTTCTTTCTCTCTTTACCTATGCATTTCCTTTTTTCTGGAGATGTCAACACTGACCTTCGTATACGGTGCAGGACCGTTACTTTTGAAATTCCCGCCTTAAGGTTCACTTAGTACATCCTGTTTGGTTAGGAGCCGTATTCATTTAGGCAACAATCATGCACGTAATCTGGTCCTACCTCCAAATATCTTCCTCTGTTTCGGTATGAGGTCAAAACTTCAAAATTTGTTCTGTTGAACGATGACGAACCGCATCTCGAACATGCGCTCTTGGCTGGCGTAATGACACACCGATTGTCGTTTCCTACATGGTACAAACTGCTGCTTAATCTACTTTTTACGTTTAATGCACTTTAATCGCCTTTCTGTTTTGTCATTAAGAGATATAGCTTTGTCCCGTTTAATCAAGTAATAAAATACGTGTGAATAAGTACGTAATGTGTGTGAATAAATGTGCAATAAATACTTTTACGTCAAACCCAAGGAAACCGCACCCATGTCGTTTATAAAATTCCGTGACAGGAATGTTCTGAATTCTTAAGGTTGGCAAAATTAACGTTATAAATTAAGTTAAATATAAAGTAATATTTATCTTAAGCAACATCATCAGAAGTCAGAATTCTTATTTCGAGCCTGAATTGCACAAAATTACGTCAGTAGCGTTCAAATTTTAATTAATATGAAACAGTTACTAACTTCAGAATTAATGTTAAAATAGCTGCTCATCGAAAATTTATTTATTACCTGATGCTGTAAGTTAGTTGTGGTAGTTATAAAAATATATGGCACATTCCTTGAAGTGTTTTCAAGCGGAACGCCATTGTATTTTGAATTGAGATTTCATTAATGGCTTGCTAAACTATATACGTTTTAATGTACTTTCAAAAAATGCATTAATTCTGCTACTTTCTTTGTTTTCTAATGGCTGAGATAGAATAGTTACAGAAATAATTCATAACTTGCATTACTTCCTTCTGCGAATAACTATTGTCTATATTATATATTCGGATTGGTAAAAGAGTATTTTCTTCGAGATTTTATTTTCAAAGTCGTTCAGAATTGTTGGTCTTCTCTTTGTTTTAATAAAATGACGTTGTTAATACAGTTCAGAATTTTCCTTAGTGATTAAATACGTGGGTATAATTTTAAAAATTGTGTCCGTCTATATCAAGGATTGTATATGTTAATAACTGATTGACGGATAGTGGAGTTGCATCTAAATCACTCAGCTTAAGAAATAATATACGTTTCTAGTTGTATGCCGATTTCATTTATATTGTAAATCTACTTTTCATTTTGAGATTTGATAAGAGAATGAAATATAATTATTTTTCTGATTCTTTTCTCGTACACTATCTGTTTGGATTTTTAAGAAGTTAACTACTTCATGAAGATTGAACGCCCGTCGAAAAAAATGGGTTTTGTAAAACGCGGCCGCAGAGCATATATACGGGCAGAAGAGTTTGCTTCTACTGGTGAGTTATTTACTAGAGTGTTTTAGGTTTTTATAACATCATGAATGATGAAGAATTATCTACGGCGTCCAGTTCTTCTGGTTCTTCTCTGTCAGTGCCAAAGGAAGATACGTTGCTACGGAATAAGTCACTAACTTCGCTAATTAGTATGCTACTTCCTTTACTGTTTGTTTTGACGTTTTTGCTTCACGTTCACATTCATCTTTCAGAATTGCATGCCGATTCAATTTCATCATCCCTGACTAGGAAAAATGGAGTTGCTACTGACGACAATAATCGTAATAATTCTTCATCATTTTAAATATTGATCGTAGTGTCGTTTCAACTGATGTTGCTATATCTAAACCACGCTGGTGTTGTAGAAACGGCGGCTGGCGAAGTCATTGACCAGTCGGTGATTCCGGACAACGACATCGGCCTATACGTAAACAAACCCATCTCGGACTCGTTAAAGTTCGACCTGCTGGTCAACCCATGGATGCCGCCGCCGACTTACCAGATGCCATTCAGTCTGCGCATGCGCAAGGGCAAGATTGGACGGGCGTTCCTGCACCACTGGCACCTGCGCAATGGCATAACCTTTTCGCACGTGCAAAATGGCCTGTTCTGTCGCTACTGTGTACTCTTCTCCGACGAAGTAACCAATCGAGGATCTGTTCGCAAGTTTATACAACTGGTCACTGTACCGCTTCGGCAGTACCGAAAGCTTACGGGCGCAGGTACGTTCACATTTCCCCTTTGCCGCGATGGCTACTATCATTTGGCATTAGAGAAAGCTGAAACGGTCAGATATCGCAAATCTTGGTTTCTCTATTATTCAAGCTTTGTTACGCTTAGCACATTATGATTACAGCTCTAATTAACCACAGATCGATAGGCACCATCTATTACCGAACCAAGGTAGCTCAGTCGGTAGGCTTTGAAATAACGGTGGAAAGATTTGGGTTCGAATCCCGGTGCTGAAGCAGTTCTTTCTGCAACGATACTTCAGCGAGTACCAATATATTGGCAACTAGGCACTGTAATGAGAATCTGGCTGATTGAATCGCAACGGAGATCAGTGCTACACTGTAAGCTCCCTGGGAAAAGAGGGCGTTACATATCATGGTCCATGGTCGCTTTTCTCTTCAGCTCAAGGAGACAGCGGCTGTCTCACTGTCAGACTGTCTCCTCGCCCCAACACACATTCTGTTTCAGACTCAGAAGACAACCGAACTATATAAACTTTCACCAGATTAATCTTGCTCATTCCTGGAGTCTTTTGCCGATCGGTTGGGCAAAGAACAGTTGTTTCGTCTTTTTTGGCATCCGCAATGCATAC